TGAACAAATAAATAAACATGCTAATGAATCAATTAAAAATGAATAAAAGTCGTCAAAAAAGTAAAACTAGGGAATATTTTTTTAGTTCCATTTGATCGTCGTCAACATCAGACGAATTAAGTTGAAACGTGTGTAGGCTTGCCACATGAACTTAATCGGGTTCGTACATAGGTTATGTCATTCACACTACACAAGGCAACAACTTGTTCACGTGAGGTGAGGCATGTCAACTTTTCAAAAAGAAAAAACCAAATTGAAGTGGCAGGACGAGCCACTTCAATTTGGCAGGACAGTGGCAGGACAGCACCGACCGTGACCTCGACTGGAGTTGAAGTAGCCTGTTCGAACGCGTAGAAATCCCTCCGCCAACACATAAACTACATGCTTAGTCATGCGATGCGTTGACCCGCGCGTTTGCCTGCTAGCACGTAAGTCACGCATCCTATTTTAATCACTTTAATTAATTATAGAAGAGAGAATAATATAAAGAATAAAACTACGCGTTTATAGATATGTTATAATCGTTCTCTTATAAATGCTCACTAACTTTCATTCGAATCGAATCCATTTCAAACGCTCGCGCAACATCCACATTTTATTTTAACATTTTTTCAGTCCATTTTGAGAAAAAAGCTTATTAATAACGAACATGTTGAAACATGTACTGTTTCTTAAATTTATTTCTTTCATTTAAATCTTATTTTATGAAAATTTACAATCGAAATAAAAAAACCGAATGTGAACGACAGCCAGGAAGAAAATAAAGAATGAAGTCAGTCAGGCAGGGACCCGAATAAGAAGGAAACGTGGATTTTATAACGATCCGCTAGAATGGGGCTGAATAATAAATAAAATTACAGGTATTTATTTGTCAATCTAATAAAGCTGGAAGACTATTTAGAGAGTTATTACGTTGATTTGCGACGGCTCAAATGCCTATGTTTTGACTGGCGAAATTGCTCGTTAGAATATCGGCGGATCATATGATATGATATGAGATGCCGCGGGCAGTAGCGTGTGCCAACGTAATAACAATAATCATCATTACGCAATGTATAGGCCAGTATATAGGCATACAATTCATCATCCCACTCTATATTATACGTTTCTTTAAATTATACAGAATAACGCACGCATCATCTTGCGCGTATTATAGGCATTTGCGTTGAGATGGGCCAGACAAGCAGCTATTAGACTTGAAATTACACTCAAATCATCTTGTGTAACGAGTGCTACAATTTCTGCTTATTTAGTGTCATTACGATGATGCTTGCATGAGAATCGTCGTTTTGGTGATGTGGCAGGCGGGAGAATTATCATTCCGGTGATTTTTTTCAAGTGATGATCAAGAAATTTTTCTTATAAAATAATTTTTTCAACTCTTAAATACACGCTTTTGAGATGAATATTGAAATTGAATCCATGTTGAAAAAATGTTAGAGTTGTGGTTTCAAAGTTGACAAAGCGCATGCCAATTGTCTTAATTATACAAACAATTGATTATAGAGTACGCCTTCAACTATTTGTTGGGCAAATTTATTCACCCACCCATGTGATTGAAACGAACAAAACACATGAACGATCAGAAAATAGATTATTGCATTCAAGTAGAAATAAATCTTCATCAGTTATAAATCAGTTAACACTGTTGTAATGAAATTTATTTAAAAAAAAAAACAAAATATAATTTAAAAAATGTAAAATATGTTAAAATTATATATAAATGGATTGCAAAATGTGAGCAAACTCTGGAAGAATAATGCACAATTAAGATAAAAATTAATCGATTTTGAGTTTCCAAGTTCAATCAACATGTTGTACCAACTACCAACCAATTTCTAATTAACCGTAAAATTTATAGACCTGCCCTTCAATAGTTTGGTTCGTTGGATGTGGACACTTTTTGCGAAAAAATCTCTACAGTTTTGTCAATTTCAAATATGTTTTCTAAACATCTTCATTGTTGTAAATGAACAGACAAATAAATAAATAAATAGACCAATCATTCAATCAATTAGTCAATCAATCAGTCAGTTATTCAATCATTCAATCAACTAGTCATTTAATCAATCATTCAATCAACTAGTTAATCATATACGAGCGCGAATCATTAAAATGTTACTTGGCAAACTGCAAAAATCAAAAAATTGTAGCCGTATGATATGTTTAAAAAGCGATTCGATCATCAATCTTTATAAATTTTAAAGAAATTGCTTGATATTATAAAATCTTATAAACGTAGAATTCTAGTATAAAATTGCCCTATCACATTCTTCCATCATAAACTACTGTGCCAACAAAAGCAACACTGACGCTGATGTTGTACCATAATAATAACGCAAATTATCAATCGACTATAGTTCAATTCTTATTGTAAAATTCCACGATTATAAATCATCTAAACAGAATAAAAACGAAATAAATAATAAACAAAAACTATACAAACAGAAAGAAACATTAAAAATAGAAATGTTATACGCTTAAATATCGAACATACATCCATACACTGACATTAAATTGGGATCAAAGTATAAAAATAAAAAATGAACGTGATATCTTTGCTATTAATAATAAGATCATGAAATACAAAAATGCTCTTGAAAATGTCAAACTTAATGGAGAAAAATTTTTTTTAACATACTAAAAAAACCATTTAACACGAGTAAAAGTTCTTAAACGTTACAAACACAACAGCGTAGTTTCAAGTAAAGAAATATCTCGTAACATACACAGAACAAATTTTTTTTTTTATAAAATAAATACAGTAAAAATAAAATCAATTGCCAGCGCGGAATCTTGAAAATATACATTGAGAAGTGATCGATTTGCCCATTAACAAATAACAAATATAGGATAAAAATAAAAATGTGTCTATATATATATATATATATATATATATTATATTTATTTATATATATATATATATATATATATATATACACAAATATATTATATATACATAAACAATATAAATAGATACTTGAATATCCGTGCGGTGTGTATGTGTGTGTGCAAGTGTATGTAAGTATACATATGTGTGTGTGTTTGTGTGTGTGTTATAGTTAGTAGTTATTATTATTACAACAAAAGGAGATTTTAAACATGATGAAAAATGAAATTTACAAACAATAATATTGCATTGGGTTTGGAACAGTGAGAATCTGTAGAAAATAAATAAACAAACAAATAAATTGTTAATTAATTAAATAAGACAAATTGAATGTTGGTTAATTAAATTAATTAATTAATTAATTAATTAATATCTCTAGACCACATCATCATTATAGCTTTTTAAAAAATATATGAAGTAAAATCTCAGTGAGTGCCCAAAGATAAAACAAATATGACAGAAAATTATATAAAAATACATGCTTGTGTGCGCGTTTGTGTGTGCGCTTTTGTTTGTTTGTATGTGTGAGTGTGGGTCTCTCTTTCTTTCTCTCTCTCTCTCTCTCTCTCTCTCTCTCTCTCTCTCTCTCTCTCTCTCTCTCTGTGTGTGTGTGTGTGTGTGTGTGTGCGTGCCTCTGCAAAAGTGCAAAAGCAATATCTCTTTAATGGAGGAGAGGATATGATGAATCACAATTAAATCTTCGCGTGTGATGATTTGTCGTGTATAAAATAAATTAATATTAGTTGGTAAAATTAATCAATAACTATTTAAAAACAACTTGGAAAGAGAAAGAGAGAGAAAGAAAAAGAGAGAGAGAGAGACAGAGAGTGAAAATAAGAATAGAAAAAGAGATTTATGAGGAAACAGTTATTAGACTTTGAGTCCGAGTCTAGCAGCAGACATCTGCAGAAGATAATTTACTATTTCTTGGAACATTTCATTTTCTGCCAAATGAATAAAAAGATATACATTATACATTTATACATACAAAAAATGTGTGATAATATTTTGAATTATTTTATAATAAAAAATAAGGTAGCGATAATATTAAAATTATTTTTAAATATTTAAAAGCAGTTATTTTAGAAAATGAATAAATTAATAAATGAATGTTTTACTGTTGTCTGACTGACCGTTAATTTTTACGAGTCCCAGGGTTATGTATCGTAAATAGGACATCAGGTTACAAACACTGGCTATCTGTGAACAAACATATATAGATAAAATCCATTTCTATGCGCGTGTGTCTGAGAGCATGTGTGTCCGTATTTCATAAATGTATCTTGGCTTTTATTAACGCAGTTAAAATGATTTCAGGTATAATTTGAAATAAAATTTATATTAAAATTTAATATAATAAATCAGTAAAAATGAAATAAAATTGAGATAGAAATTGAAATAAACCACCCGACCCGATTTCTGACAAAAGTAGAAACGGGATATTGAACGTTTGAGTTGTCCTCCAGCTTCACCAGGTACGTACACTCGATCGTTTCCAAACTGAGACTGCAGTAACTAATGACGTGTGAGAGGTCGTACATTATTGGTGGCGGTGGTGGTGGTGGCTGACTGACTTCTCGATTGATTGATTGACGGCTTGCGTATGGTTGATAACTTGTTTGCGTAATTGGTTTCAATCATATAAATTGCGTTGGGGAAACATCAAAGTTGAAAAATTTAATGTTAAAATAACGAAAAAATTGCTTTTAGTTGAGATAAACTTACTCATACAAGATTTTAACATTTGGCTCAATGGAAAGTTTGTTGTTCTGTATTCCATCAAATATGTCCTTTATTAGCTTTACAATTCAAATATTTTCATTAATTTTCATATTTTATTCAAATATTTTCATTTAAATTTAATTAAATTAATAAGAATAAAAATAATGCTAGTTCATATAGAAACAAGATTGAATGGAAACCCAAAAAAAAATTTCCTGCTCTTAGGAAATTATACACGCAATGTATAAACTTTTTTGGGATATAAATACTTCATTTAAGACAATCTTCAACTCAACTAACTCAAAATCTCATCAAAAAAAATTAAACAACTCTATATAACTCTATATGTGAGTTATATAGTCTCAAACTGGAAGAGAACAAACACAATTCAATCCCTATTGAAAGTACCAACTGAATCATTCTTGAAGGCCAGACAGGGATTTATTTCATTTCTTATAATGTCTTCTATGAATGGATCAGATGGATTTAATGTAGGACAGGCTTTCCATGTCCTAAACTTCTCTCTTCTTGGCAGGTCAATCTACATTATTAATTTTTTTTTGTTCAGTACAAAAATAAATCAAAAAATAAATCAAAAAATAAATTAAATAAGAATAAGTTAACTAAAGCAAGAAACATTTCAATTGAAGTTGGCTTCTAGCAATAAGTTATAATAATAAAACTGTTAGGATATAAAACAAAAGACAACATGTTAGAAAAATCTGTCTCAATTTAAACGAATAATAAATGTTATAACAGTTTAATAACAATTAATATTTTTTTTTACTGAAATATTTCAAAAAATGCGAACCTCATTATCATAGGGAGCTAAAGTGTCAATATCATCAACAATTCTTATTGTACTGTGATGGCTGATTGACCTTTTGTGGCCTTTTGTGAAGTTGGAGTTTGATGATGACTTCACTAACTGCGGTGTCTTTATGAAGTTTGGTGAGTTGGGAGTTGTTGGGCTGAGAATGAGTTTCTTCAAAACTGTCACCTCTTCCTGCAAAACTTCAATCTGGTTAGCATTATTAGAATAGTTTTTTTTTATTCTATCAACAATTAGCAAATATTATGATTCAAAGTTAGATTAACCTTCATCAAAGAGTCTTCAAGTTGTTTCTCAGCTTGTCTTCTCTTAATGTTTGCATCTTGCACCATTTTATTAGCTTCCTGAGTTAAAAAAGTTACAAAATTTATTACACAAATAGATGTTTTTAGCTAAAGTTATCAGAATTTTATTAAAAATTTTCAATAATGAAGATATATTATTCAAGAGAAATAATTTTTGATGTCCAAGAAGCAGTTACTTCAAAAAGAGCAGCAGTCAGTTCTTGGACCTCTTCCCCTGTTTGCAGCTGTTCCTTTGTCAAATTTTCACACTGTAACTCTTTCTCTTTCAATTGCTGTGTGGTGGATAACAAATGAGCAACCATTGTTGCATCATTGTTTAATTCATGGATAATAGTAGTAAAATAGCAAACAATAGCAGTCATAGGAAGAAAGAAATTGGCCAAATTTTAGAAATGCATTTATAATCTACAATGAATGTATCATGCAATAGGGAAAGCACTACCGTACACACACATACACAAGCAATAATACACATACAAAAACCAAAAAGAAAATTTGAATGATGATTAATTAATAATAAATTTACAAATCATTGTATTTGTTATATATCAACCAATCCTATTCATCTAGATAAACTGCCTTCTTACTAAAAATATACTTAATTGTAATTAAAATTAAAGTTTATGTTTCCATTTAACCTCTTGAACTTCCTGTAACTTTTCAAAGAGGTAGACTGATCTTCTCTGGTGACGTGGGTACTTGATGCTGTTGCTGTTTGTTGCATCTGCTGCTGCTGCTGCCGAACTTTCTCCTCCTAGTGGCTTCAAATCATCAATTTCCAATAAACTGTTTAGGTTTAGAATGTAGAATAGCTCTAGTCAGATTTAGTAAAATTCCTTCTTACTGTATTTTTTTAATTTTAAATTAAATTAATAAAAATAACAAATTAATAAAATATTTTTTAAAATGCTGAAAAAATTACTGAAGAGTATTATTGATCAGTTGCAATCTCATCATTCATTATGATTATATTATAAATTATATTATATCATAATAATCATACAAGAGATATAAAATATAAATAAACAAACAAACAAACAAGACATATTGATAGTCATACCGACACAGACTACTAACTACTTCAAATTAAATTTTAAAATCAATATTAATTTTAATTTAAAAAAATAAAACAAAAAAAACACAAACTCAATCCCATTTGGTAGATTATTTTCCGCACAATCCATATTGCATTTCATAATTTCCAATTTTTGTTGAAATAATATCTTATTTGAACGAGAAGAAGAGGCATTTGGCTGAAATTTCAGTCCCGCATTTCCTTATTATTTGAGCTCCTCAATTAATTAACTTCTCAGTTAGATTGATTAGCTTAGGCAGGTTAAGTTAAAAGGTTAAATAAAATTAAAAGCAAATAAAAGAAACGATTTTAAGGTTTAAAGTATTATTTATTTTAATAATAAATTAATTTGAATGAGTTACATTTTTTTGCTGTTTTTAATTTTTTCATTTCACGGTACTGCAAATGTGTTTAAATTTTAAAAGTATTTATTCTTAGGTTTTCTTTTAAAAAATATTTCAAATGTAAACTTCACAGTAAAGTAAACATAGCAAGTCATTTCGATTCAGAATGGATCTAAATTTAAAAAGTGTCCATGCTGCCGATCTTAGATCCAGAGCAATCGATATCGATGATGAAGATGAAGAGAATGCAGAAGAATTTAATGTAGAAATTAGGTGAATTTGTATATCTACTCTTGCAACAGTTTGAAATAAATTGAAATAGATGTGCAAACAAATTTAATAATAAAATAAAATATAAAAAAATTAATTAAATATGTTGTATTGTCTGTTGGGTTTTGTTTTTGCTCATTGTGTAAAAGTAAAATAGAAGTAGAACTTACTGTATTGCTTGTACTGATGAGACTGTGCTAATGTACTGTAATATTGATCTATATTTTATTTTTTATAGATAAATATATCATATATCTAACATTCTAACAACCTGAAACATTTCATTTTATTATTGGAGTGAATGCTATTCCACTCTTTTGTTGTACAACGTACATACAGTTTTTTTTTACATTACATTTATTTATTAATGTATTTTATTTATTTTTAATTTTTTCATCAATTAATTAATTAATTAATCTATTTTTTTTTAAGAAAAAAGTTTGAGGTAACCTTGAACGTTGATGCCAGACAAAAATGTGACGTACTTTTGATCAGTGCTGGTTCTGTCTTTTCAAGTAAAATCTTTTTCATTATTAAATTGCTTGAAAATTTTACTGCTAGATCCGTCAACTAAGTTAACCGTTAACTTGTTATTTGTATTTGATTACATAAACAATTTTCTTTTCTCCAGATTATTTGGAATGTTGTGTATATAATTTACCTACCTGTAAATTAGTTGGTAATGTGGTTGAAGTTGGTGAATCATCAACAAAAATTAATAAAATTTGTCATTTAAGCGATACATCGAATGCTAAAATTTATGCTATCAATGCTGAGAAAGTTAATGATGAAGATTCTTATCACTGGACTGAAAAAGTAATATAATTCACTTCACTTTCAGTATATAAAAAATTTTTAGGTAAACATTTGAACAAAATTGTATTTTTGGTTTTAATTTCACTTAACAATAGGTCATTGAAGCAGTGTGTGATGCAAGCTCCAAAATTTTTGTCCTACTGAATGATAATTTGAGATCTTACAAATGCTGGCAGTCAGCTGGCGATTCATCTGAACTTTTTGTGAAGTATTTGAGTTCATCATTTATTAAGAATGATGATACAGTAAGGTCATTCTCATGTCTTGAACAGCCCAACATTATTAGTGGCCTATCTGCTCAAAGTTTGTTTTAAATTATTCGAATTTTTCATTTTAATTGATTAATTTTTTGCTTTATAAAAATTTTATAATAATTGTAAAAAAGCATGCATAAAATAAAATGCATAAAATAGAAAATTACTCAAATATTAAATTGCAATAATCAATTTTTTTGTTTTCACTTAATTCAACAGTTCTTACTTATGCCGAGTTGAATGGTTTGCATTGTGTGGTGTTTGTCATGTTCCACAGTATTGACTTTCCATCGTCATTCCTCACAAAATTCTTCAAAAAATCAAATATCATAAATGTCTGTCAGGTTAATACTAGTAAAATTATTGCAATTTAACAGCAGTTTTCCTTGATATTGTTATCTAATTTGGGAAAAAATTGAAGAGTAAAAGCTCATTTAGCTAGTGTGTTTGTTAAACTGGAATCAATGAAAAATTGAATAGTGTAGACAAAACAAAATATTTACTTAATAATTTGTGTTTAATTTGAATTATGCACTATTAAAATTCGTTTATTCTGATATTCATGTTGAGCAGCATTATTTTTCAGTGTAATTTTTTCATTCTTAACGTTTGCACAGGTTGACAGTGAGAAGTTGAAACAATTCGAAATGAAACTTCATTCACAGTCCGCCGCCAGTGGTCTTTACATGTGATGTCGTCGTGTCATGAATGTAACACTAATCAGACCATTTTTACACATCATATTTAATTACATATTCATTATTTTTACCTCATTACGAAACTTTATTGTATTGAAATAAATAAATCCCATAAATCTACAAATTGTATTAGCTAACCGTTGTCTAAAAATTGAACAAATACAGTTTATTAAAAATTTGTAACTTCTTTATCGTTATTCATGGTCATCCAGTTGCCCACGTATCATTCGCATGTGATTTACGACATAAATTCCTAAGCAAGTTGTCAGATAACTGAAAGAGCCGCTGATAAATTTGTGATAAGCGATGAGAAAACGCCTTTTCTCGAAATTCAAAAGTCTACACGTAAATTTTACAACGTAAATTTTAATGCTGTTCTGTCTTGCGTTTTTCCTACAATGAATCACTGTTGTTTTTAACTACAGGTAATTTGCTCTGTGAGGTTATGAGTTTAAGCAAAATTACAATGGAATTGTCAAATTAAATGAACCAACTACCTGGTCTGCTGAATGTCAGTCAAATGAAGCGTTACTTCTGCTGTTGTTAATATTATTTTGCTAACGTTGCAGAATAATATTCGAAGGGTACTTTTAAAATTTTGTTGACCTCATTAATTTATTACGCAGTATGATCTCTCATTTGCAGACCATTAAATATTCACATTTGGCACTACAGACTACTGCAATTGTTTTTAAACAAGTCAATAAATGAAACCATATTTTATGACACTACTTGAAAACGACAACACGTTCTCAATGAAACAGCTTAAGATATACATAATCTAATAATTTTTTCGTTTTTACTTGTTCATTTGTTGAAAGTGATAAACGTTTGAGGGTTATGTTCAAAACTATTCATTTATCATTAAACCTTCTATCTTGCACGAATTGAAACGACTTGTCTAGTTGTGCATTTACAGATCACCGGATCACCAAACAAATATAAAATAAATTATCTGCTCAAAACAAGTCCAACTTTATCATTGCTTTGTAACATTTAAGAGAAACTACCGGTTGGATAAAATTTTCTCGGCATTCAAACGGGCACTTAATACATAGATTATTCAAGCCAGAAGCTTCTACAATATGAGCCAACTCGTTGACTATTATATAACAAATTTTTCAAACAACAAAATAACAAAGTCTGTTATAACCTTGGCATAAATTCTGGTTGGTCGAAAGATTGATTGGTTGGTCAGTCGATTGAATTAATTAGTCGTTGATTGACACCAATCTGAAACTGATGATGAAAGACCCATGAATCCATGGAAAGGCCTGAAAGCGCGTGTGATATAAATTGTCCTTCATGATGGTGAATCAAATACCTCATTTCAATTCGAGTGTTTAATTTAACGAAAGGTAGTCATTGAAATTCTCAATCGCGTCCTTCCGTTAACAGTCACATTAGAAATATAATAAAAAACACCTACCTGTTATGTATAATGTACATATATATATTAAATATCATATTATAACAAATATTATGCATATATATTTGCATATAAGTAATTCGTAAACTCCCGCTTGGGAAATTGAACCAATTTTCCTCACCTTTTGTATAGCATTGCTGTCAATTCGTGATCTCACTCAGGTGTGTTATATGTTTTATACATATATAAGATTAAGATATTAGGATTATATAACTACATATACAAGTTAATATATATATATATATATATTTATATAATATACGTTATAATTTTATATATTTGTTATGAAACATATATAAAATAACACATTATACCTAGTATATCAACTATATGGTTGATATATGATATACTATGTAGATTTGAAATATAGTAAATAGATTTGGCCTTTCGTTCATTGCTTGTCTCGGCAACCTATATAATCCACACGCATGCAGTTTTCGTTTTCTCGCTATTTTTTTAAATTAAAAATCTTTAAATTGTGAATTTTTAGATTTAATTTAAAACATTTAATTGTTAAATTATCAAAGAGAGAACTTTTTTGCGTGTTTGTCGACTGCTAAAGTTCCATTTTTGTCTATTTGAAAACTTGATTCATAATGTGTGGTTAGTTACTTGTTGTCATGTTTTCATCATTTTTAGTATTTTAAAAATTTTTTTAATTAAATTTTTATTGATATAATTTATTAGTTAATTATGTAATTGATGTTATAATTTCAAATAAATTGTTTGTATGCACTGTTAATATTTTAACAAATTTAATGACAAATGGATGGAAACTTGCTAATTAATAAATAATCAAAATCAGAGCAGACAGTCAGGAAGTGAATGATTAAAAATTTAAAACTGCAAAATTTTTGCCAGTTAAATTTATTTAAAATAAATTAATTAGTTTGCAACATGGCTCACAATTTCAGTTTTTTAGGATTAGTTAAAAAAACCTACTTGCTAGGAGATTTAAATTTATTTTTAAATTTTAATTGAATGATATCACTTAACTCAACAAATGATATATTTTCATTACCATTCATTATTTGCAGGAATATTTGCTTATTTAAATTTCCTGACTCCGAAAACCAGAAATGAGATCTTGAAGATTTTGCTGAAGGGGTTGAAAATGTTAGAGTATCGAGGCTATGACTCTGCCGGTATGTTTAATTAATGTTTAATTTTTAATTCATTTTGATGTTATTCCAGCCTATGCATGTTATGTGCAGATAAAATGTATTATTTCAGGTTAAAAATGTTCTACTGTTTTATTTATTGAAAATTTTTTTAAAATTCGTATTTAATCTTAAAGATAAATATAAACTTCGACACTAATTACATTATTTTTGTTTTTTTGTTAAATGACAGAAATAAAATAAAACATAAAATCATAAATTTCAGGCATAGCTATTGATGGTGGCAATGATGTTGCAAAGGGTGAAGGCTCCCAGAATGAAATGCTGCTATTGAAACAAAAGGGAAAAGTTTCTGCCCTTGAGGAGATTATATATGGTTAGTAGGTGTCTTTCTTATGGGGGGGTTATATATAGTTTGTCTTGAGGGGGTTATATATGGTTGGTAGGTACCTGTCTTAAGGGGATTATATATAGTTGGTAGGTACTTGTCTTGAGGGGGTTATATATGGTTAGTTGTTTTGAAGGGTTTATATTTGGTTGATAGATGGTGTCAGTGAAATTTATATATTTTACACTGGGGTGGTTAATGTTGATGTCAAAGATAATACATATATATTTCAAAGCAATGGAATTTTTTGAGTGGTTTTAAACAGCAAATTATGTACTATATAGGCCATCTTATGTCATTTTTCTCTCAATAAATTACATACACATGTCCATAAAATTATTTTGTTAATTTTTATGTTTCTCATTAAGTTGTCATTAAAATTATTTTCATAATATATATATTTAATATAATATATATATATATATAATAATATAATAGAACACAATTATTTAATTTAATTTAAACTGAAAATATTTGAATGTTTTGGTTATTAAAAGATGTAAACAAGCCAAATCTGGAGGTGTTGTTTGAGAATCACGTTGGCATTGCACACACCAGGTGGGCTACTCACGGAGAGCCTAACTGGGTCAACACACATCCCCAGAGATCTGACCCCAAAGGAGGTTTGTGTGTGTGCGTGCGTGCGTGTGTGCTTGTGTGTACGTGCGTTTGTGTGCGTGCGTGTTGGCATCATTTGTTGGTATGAAATGATTGAATGAATAAATGAATTGACGGATGGATGGATGGACAAATGAATGAATGAATAAATGGATAAATAAACGAATAAATAAGTAATTAAAATAAATTAATTTAATTAATTAAAGTAAATAAGTAATTCTATACCTATTCACGCCTGCAAAGAAGCACACATACGCACACACACACACACACACATATATATATGTTAAATTATACAACAGAGAGGAATTGTCTATTATATAAATCTCTCCACACATAGTTAGCTGTTTAGGAGTTTTTATGCAGCCCAGTAGTATAATATTAAAAATGGAGATTAAAATATTTACGAATTTACTTAACAAGAGTTAGTTTGAGTAAATATAACGACAGAGTCAGGTTTAAAAATTAACGTTATTACCTGATAGCTGATTGGCTGGCTAGCCAGTCAGATGTGTTGGTTAATTTTTCATTGCAATTCAATTCGACATTAATTATAGTTTATTTACTTTTAAGGTTGGATTTTTAATACTTTCTTTAGTTTGAGTATTATTTATGGAATTGTTTAGCTCTATATTCTATGTTGTAAGTTGTATGTTTTATCTTATTTTGTGAACACACACACACACACACACACACACACACACACACACACACACACACACACACACACACACACACACATGTATATATATATATGTTGGTAAAAAAAATATATATATATATATATATATATATGTGTGTGTGTGTGTGTTTGTGTGTGTGTGTGGCTTTAGTGGTGTGTGTGTGTGCGTGCGTGTGTGTGCATCCATCTGCATGGAGTTTTGTTTTAATTTTGAGTATCTAAGTCTGTTCATTATAAATTTTTAAATAGATCCATTTAAGATTAAGATGGGCGTAAACATTCCATAGTTCACTGGAGTTTTACTTTTGATAGGATAGTTTATCTGGCTTGCTAAACTTAATAAAAAAATTCATCTTTGTTATACATAGCTATAATCTAATAAGAGCTTAACTGAAAACTGGAGGTCAGTTTTTGTTAAATAATTTTTTTTTCTTCAAGATTGTTTTGGGTCTATACATCATCTTCTAAAATTTATAAAAAAAAACTGATTAAACTATATTTTTTTAATAACATTTTCAAAATTAATTTTTGCTTTCACTTATGTGCTCCACAGCGCTGACTGTATTATTAATTTCTTTAATTGATATTTTGTTGCCTTCCTTTTAAATAGTTATAATGTATCTTTTTAATTGTGGAAAAGATTAAATTGATCGCAAATTATTATTCCAAAGGTTGGTTATATTTAAAGAACCTTGCATTAATGTTGTAAATGTGAAGAATAAGGACACATGGGAGAAAAGATTTTGGGGTTTACAGATGAATATTACTAAAATTAGGATAAGAATGATTCACGCCCTGTTTTATATAACATTCTCAATTAATTTATATAACATTCTCAATTAAGTTTTAATATCGTGTTCATTTTATATTTCATAGTTACTTGTCTATTATTAATCTCTATTAACAATTTATTATTTTAGAGTTTATATTCAACATTTGCTTGTGTTAAGCAATATCGGATGAATGGTTGTGTGTGTGTGTGTGTGTGTGTATGTGCGTGTGTGGGTGTGTGCATGTGGGTGCGTCATTGTGGAGCTTAACTTAAATTTTTAATTGAGGATTTCAGATTGACTATTAAAGATAAAAATTGAAATAATTTGTTATTATATTGATTGTTATTGTTATTATTTAGTATTACAGCATTGTTTTATTGTCGCTGATTGCTATATTACTTTTATTATTTGTGGTATTTAACCACTTCACCATCAAGAGATTTTCTTATTACATTTTACTGTGGCAATAATAATAAAAGATTATAATTTTGCCCTTATTAACTATCAGGAAACAAATTTCATTTAACATGCCATCATTTAGAGGTAAATTTTTTGCCCGAATTTCGAAACTTTTATAAAGAAATCTTTAGCTTTCATTTTAATGTATAGCTAATGATATCAATAAAAATATAAGTATCAGTTCATTAAATAATGAAATCTTCATACATAGTAAAATCTCAAAAACGTAGTTGAGGAGTTGTATCAACAACTGTAATAAAACCCCAGATTTCATCATTTAATTTAATTAGTTTTTATTTATTTATTTTTATTTTTTATAATTAATTTCAGACACCATTAATATCACCATATAATGTCATATAGATGTTATAGGCTATAAATACTAGGAAGTTATCTGTCAATTGAAATATTAACATTAACGCTTCTTTATTCACATTCATTCATTCATTCATTCATTTATTCATTCATTCATTCATTCATTCATTTATTCATTCATTCATTCATTCATCCATTCATTCATTCATTCATTTGTTCGTTACTAATGTTTAAATGCTACTGATGTTATTTCTATTGCTTACTGCTATATATTGTTCTCGCTGTTACAATCGTTTTTCTCTCTTTCTGGCTATGAAGGGCCTGTGTTCGAATAGATAAATAGAGAGAGAGAGAGAGAGAGATAAGAGGAGGAACCAAGTTAATAGACAGCAAAAAAACAGATAATTACTTATTGGAAAGGTAGATAGATTAATGGATAGACAGTTAAAGAACGAATGAATGAAATAAGAAAGATGGTAACTTGAAAGAGATATACATATTCACAATGTTTTGATAAAACTCTGCCTAAATATTTATAATAATAATGAATCAATAAAAATTTACAATTAATTTTTAATGAATTTAATACTTGATGGCTCTGCAAAAAGGAGGATCTTAGCTAAAGTATTTCAAGTAATTTTGAGAGGTAGTAATGTTAAGTGTGCATGCTAAAATATTATATATGGATCTGCAGATCTTTACCTGTTGGAGTTAAAGCTACAGTAGTTAACTAACTACAGTTTGTAAGTAGTTAAAACATCACTGTTTAATTAATGTTAGT